CTGCGCTGCTGAGGGTGGAAGGGTGTGCAGACCCTTTAAGCAGGCCCTGTGCTCCAGGCTCCTCTGCTGCTGTGTGATGCTGGGCTCCTGACCTGACGTCTCTGTACCTCTTGCTCACTTGTGAAAATGGAAACATTCCGGACCTTGCAGGGCTATTGTGGGGTCGATGATGTAAAATGGGTAGAACACCATGTGCTATAGCCATGGGCTCTTCAGGCAGTGAGCCACGCTTCAGCACTTTCCAGAGGCAGGGCTCCCTGCTTTCCTGAGACCCCTGCCTCTCTGGCTTCCTTTCTGTTTTCTCCATGCCCCCACCCCCATCCCACCAGGGGAAAGGACACCTGTGGGAAATGGAGGGCATGGGGCCATGCCTGGGGTCGGATTCAACCACAAAAAAAGGACAATGAGGGAAAACTCCAAGTTTTCTGCAAAAAAGGTTTCCCTTTAAGTGATAGAAATTGGAATCCGGAGGCAAGAGGGCTTGGCTGGGAGGTGGGGGCCCGGCCGGGAGAGAGGAAGCCTCCTCAGAAGGCTTATGCAGCAGAAGCACCTTCTGTATACCAAGTATGCCATCAGACTTTTGCTGTCCTGAGGTGAAATTCATACCTAACGTACATGCCCACACACAAAGTTTTGAGAAGCACATATGAGTAACACCCCAAAAAATACAGGGAACCGAAGGACAGTGATAGTGAATGCAGCAATCCTGAGTGCCTTGGGGCGCCACACTCTGCACAGCCACACTGCAGACACGACGGAGGAGTGGCAGCTCAGACATGCCTGCACAGAGGCCCCACGAGCGTGCCACCCATGAACACAGGCAGCCCCGACAGCTCACACCACCAGGGCCATCGTCCCCGCCAAGAGGTGTTTGACCGAAATGACCACCTCGGCCGAAGCCCCAAGCCAGACTGGTCTTCCCTTGACTAACAGGATGCTGCACTGGGAAATTCTGGCGTATTCAAACCCTGCAAACACAACCTAGAGTGAGGTTGTGAACAGAAGCCGGTTCTGGTCTCGGACCATCATAAGCTGTCTGCAGCTGCCCTGAGCGTCTGCAGCACGGTGGGAAGCCCACAGGCACTCTGGCACATCGCAGACCCCTGCCCTCTCAGGCCTTGTGCCCACCCAGTGCCGGTGGTGCCCCCCTCCCCATTCACACAACACTCAGCAGCATGCCCACTAATTTCCAAGGGTCCCTTAAGGCAGTGCAGACCCCCTGGAGAACCACTGGCTAAGACCATGTGTCCCTGGGCCGCTGTCACCCACCAAGCCTTTGGCCTGTTTGTGCCGACGCCCTCCTGCCAAAGAGCACAGGAACTCAGTGCTGCAAGCTGGGCTGAGGGACGTGTGGCATGAGGAGCACGGCCTGCCGTGGGGCATCTTGGGGGTGTTGTTATAGGATTTAGGCCTGTGTTAGGTGATCTGGGGGAGGTTCAAGGAAGTGGGGCTTTGCTCAGGATTGGGTGCTGTCAGGAGCCAGGGGTAGCCGGGGATGGGTATCTTAAGTCTTTCAGAGAAGGGGAGCAGAATGCAGCCGGCTTGCCCAGGGCTGGTAGGAAGCTGCAGCACCACGCGGGGCAGCAGAGGGCGCTGCTGGTCACTGCGGTTGGACCGGCTCCAGGCTCGTCCACGTCACTCCCCGGCATGACCTCTGCCCCTGCTGGAGTTCTCTGAGCTCGTTTGTGGGGGTGCCTGTGGGCTGAGGACGGGGCTGGGTTGAGGCACGTGTCCTAAGTCAGTAATTGAGACAAATGGTACAGTAATGCAGTGTTTCATAACGTGGCCTGGAGGGGGCTTTGTGGGGACAGGTGAGCCGTAGATGTTGCTTGTTTAGTCCTTAACGCAGGCTGGAGAGTAACAGTCTTGAACTCTGGGTCAAGTGTTGGCCCCCGGCAGCCCCTCAGCCCACCTTGCTTTCATGGTTGGGCATCCACCTTGCAAAGATGCATGTGCCCATCTTCTCTGCCTGGGCAGGGGGTCATTGCTGGGCCAGGCCCCACCCAAAGACTGATCTAACTGCCAGGCCTGAGATACTGTCAACCTCTGCAGATGAGGCTCATGTCCACGCCATTCCCTGAGCCATTTGTGAAGCTGTTGGCTTTGGGGAGGGGCTCACGTTCACATTAACCAGGATGCCCAGTGAGCACAGGGCAGACAGCCAGAAGTCTGACTTGCTTGAGGACCTCCTGTGCCCCTACAGGAATGACAAAGGGAAGTTTAGGGAAAGACTTTTGAGCCCCGGACAGGAAGACTGAGCCCCATGTGCAGAGGGAAGTCACTGTGCTGGGAATGACGGAGGTTCCAGGGTCTGAGTCTGGCCCGGGGTCTCCCCAGCTTCCTGAGGGGAGCACACACTCAAGGTGGGGGCCCTGAACGGCCAACACAGAATGGAAGATGCCATCTTGGGGGTGGGGCTAGTGGGCAAGGATGTGGCCTTGGTGAAGACGCAGTGCCTCTGGCCACAGAGTGGTGGGGATGGTGGCAGCAGTGTCTGTGAGGGATGACCGTGGCTGAGCAGCTCACCTTGGCCTCGGGCTCCATGCAAGAAGGGTGGAGTGCAAAAGCCTCAGAACCTCATTCCTGGGGGCAGAGGGGGTCGTTCCAGGCCTGGCTCTCCCCTCACCCAGCAAGGCTGTGTGACCAGCATGGGGCCAGGGGAGGTGCGGCCAGCTCTACAGCAGGTGAGGGGGGTGGGCCCCAGCTGCAGGCCTGGGGCGGAACCCCTCCCTCCAGGGCACAGCGGCAGCCAGCAGGCAGTTGGGGGTGAGTGGCAAGCACAGTGTGAGCAGGTATCCAGAGCAGCGCTCAGGAACGGTGGAGGTAGGCAGAGACAGGCCAAGAATTCTTAGGAAGCAGAGGCAGGCTGCTACCACTGATAAGGCCACGCTGCAGGGAGGCCTGCGAGGAGGAAGGGGCACAGAGGCAGACCAGGAGGAGTCCAGGTGACAGCACCTCTGGGAGCGGTGTCCCCAGGAGCGGAGGGCACACTCCACATGCTCAGCTTGGTCAGAAATGTTCCCAGAGAGGTTCATGCCTGAGGCCTGGAAGGTGCAGCTGCCAGGAGTCGGAAGTGGTGGAAATAAGACAAAACCACATGAGGCCCACCTCCCCCGAAACCCATCTATGCAGGAAGACAGGGTGGATTCATCAGGCCAGCTGAGGCCCAGCACCACATGGGGTTGGAGGCCGTGTGTTGACAGGAGGCCCCACGGCGTTTGGCATCCTCGGGAGAACCACAGATGAGGTGTGTTCTCCAAGGCAGAGCCAGGCCCCGGACGGTCCTGCTGCTGCTCAGACACAGGCTGGGGAGGCGGCCAAGCAGCAAGGCTGCATCGGCCCAAGGAGACTGAACAAGGCTGCACCCCTCATGGCGCAGACAGGTGTGGGGACCCTGCACCCCTCATGGCACAGACAGATGTGGGGACCCTGCACCCCACATGGCAAGGACAGGTGTGGGGACCCTGCACCCCTCATTTGCACAGACAGGTGTGGAGACCCTGCACTCTTCATTGCATGGACAGGTGTGGGGACCCTGTACCCCTCATTGCGTGGACAGGTGTGGGGACCCTGCACTCCTCATGGCACAGACAAGTGTGGGGACCCTGCACCCCTCCTTGTGTAGACAGGTGTGGAGCCCTGCACCCCTCATTGTGTGTACAGGTGTGGGGACCTGGCAGAGACTTTTACTCTGAAAACAACCTTTTCTTGGAGCACACTTTGGGTTCACAACCGAGGGCTGCGTCTTCCCAGTTTACAACTGATTTTCTGTGCAATAAAATTCTCCTCAATTAAATTCCTGTTCTACAAAGAGATTTGTTGACAAAGGGCACACAGGGCTTCAGATTCAGAGACCCTGACATGCTGACATGGTCTCCTGTCAGCCGGGGCTATCCAGCAACGAACCTACATCTTTTTCCTTCTCTTTTCTTCTCTGTAAGACAAGGGCAATAATGCTGCACTTCCAGGATGTTGTCTGGGGACCTGGCCCCAAGTGGAAGCCGAAAAGCAAAGTGTGTGGTTTTGATGGGAGCCGGTGTCCCCTTTCCAGAGGGGAGGATGGCTCAGGCCCACCTCTGCGAGCTGCGCTGCCTTTTCGCCACCGTGCTGTGTGGATGAGTGTGCCACACAACTGCATCTGTGGCCTGCAAAGAGTGCCGTCAGCATGACAGCGCAGGACGTTCAGCCCAGTGGGTCGACACCGGTTGGCGCCCGTAGAAACCCTCCAGCTGTCAGTAGAGAGGTCCACGGCTCACAAAGTGAGGGGGTTAGGGTTAGGGTTAGGGGATGAACGGCTCTCCACCCGGGGCGCTGTAAGCCTTCATGTGGACTTAAGAAGGACACCAATTCATTTATTCATGAAGTTTCCCCCATTTTCAGAAGAAAAAATTCAAAGGCCATCCAAAGGTCACAGACATTAAACTGACTTGCAAGTCAAGGAAGTGCCAGTTTGTAAGCTGGCTTATTTGTTTGCCCTCTTCACCAAGGCAGATGTTAATAATCTTTTAAGGAAACGTACATGTGAAGTGTCTTTTCCCGACTCGCACACGGAAGTGAGCCCTCAGGCTGCCGGGCCTGCCTGCCCAGTGCCGGGTCTGGACTCGGTGCAGCCCCACACACGAGGCGCTATGTGAGCAGGTCATTCACCTGCGCCGGGGCCTGGGGCACACCTCTGCTGGGAGACGCTATGGCACGCTCCCGCCATGCCCCATCTGTGAGAGCCGAGAAGGTGTGAGAGTGACTTAGCAGAAATAAAACACAACAGCACAAAGTCTCAGGAATGAAGAACTGTCTTCATGCCAAGTACAGATCTTTATTCTTTAAAACATCAGGCCCCAGACATCATGAGCTTTCAGCAGAAGCGCTTGCCAGGAGCAGGGTGATAGGAGAGCGGAGGTGCGCACAGCTGGCAGAGAACCGCAGGCAGAGCGCCCAGAGAGGGGATGCTCACATCCCAGGGTGTCGAGGGGCCAGTGGGCTTTGCTTCAAAATGTGCATTCTGGAAACAAAGCAGAGGCATGTGTTACAGGGCGTCTCTTCTCCACCCACCGGCTGCCTGGCTCTCAAGGTCAAGACAGGCTTCAAGGTCAGTATCCTGTGTTGCATTCTCTCCCAGGTCACTGGGGTGGGGGGAGGGTGTCTCCAACTTCCTGGGAGAAGGACCACCTGCCCCACCAGGACCTGAGGGCCAGGGCAGATGATAAATGAGATGGGTGTTTTGGGGGTCACTGCCAGTCCTCAAAGAAAGAGGGGTCTCAGGCTGAGGAGCCCAAAGAGTGGAGACGGCCATCAGTGAGGCAGCTCTCTCTTCTGGTTCCACAGCCTCACCTGGACCTCTGCCTGGATTTTCTGGGAATGGGGAGGAGGCCCTGGAAATGGGTATGGGCCCGGTCATTGCTCAGGGAGTGGGGATCAGCTGGGTGCAGCCCCTCCTTGTTACGCTGGGGTGCAGGGCAGGAGAGGCCCCTCCAGGGCCTGATGCCAGGAAGGTGCCTTCTGCAGCTGCACTCTTCTTACATGGTGAGAGCTGACTCCTGGACTGCCAGATGGCTTGTAGCAGACTTCCACGCCCAAGACGTGGTGGGGTGGGGCTGCTGGAGCAGGACATTGAGCCACCCGTGGGCACAGCCACCTGTTGCTGACATGGGATCCCCAGGTGATTGTCCTGCAGCCCACTGCACCACCAAGGGAGGCGAGGCAGGGGGTGGAGGGGCGCCAGGGCTCCACGCCCAGTATTGCCATGCATCTGCCATGCTGTGAGCATGTCACAAATGGTTTATTTGCTGAATATGGCCTCAAAGGGTGCCCCGGCTTCCCAAACCTATGTATTTGCTATTTCTCTCTGGGATAGTTTAACAAATGAGCTCCCTCTACATAATGCCTTGACTTTGAACACATTTTTGAAACAATTGCTCTTACAGTTTGCACAAACCCCTCAGTAGGGACAGCCACTGGCCACTAGCTGCCCTGGGCTCAGAGCCTCTGACTGAGGCCTCCACTGGACAGCCGTGTGCTGGGTGCCCTGCCCAAGGCCCAGGTGTGTGCAGCTTCCTGGGGACCTGGAGGCTCTCCCTGGGCTCAGAAAGGGCACTGTGCAAGTGGGGCTGGCTTACCTGCCTCCTGCAGAGGCTTGAAGCACCAGGGTACCTCGAAGATACTGGAGTCGAAGCAGCAGCCCCTGCTGTTGCACTGCTCGGCGGTGACGTCGGGGTAGCCGCAGTCCACCCTGTCCTTGGCTGGCATGGCGCATTGGTTTGCCGCTGGCCCCAACAAAGCCTGGTCAGCCACCAGTGCCCTCACCGGTTGGGGAGGGCCTGTGGCTTCTGCCTGTGAGCCTGCAGTCCTCAGCTCCTGCGTGCCTATCAGGTGCCCCTGCACCCTGATATCCGCTGGAGGAGGGACCCTCTTTCTGAGTAAATCTTGTAGAAAATCTGGCCATCGGCCTGGGGGTCTCCCTCCCCTGGCACGCTCCTAGAACCTTGTCAGGACGGCCATGTGGGCCTGGGTTCCCTCCTGTTGGCAGGTGCCCATGGGAATTAGGGGTCCCTGAAGCCAGAAACAAAGTTCCCCTTCACTGTTTTTTTCAATAAAACATCCCCTTTCTAAGAAAACAAAGAGTCTAACAAGAGACACACATTCAGTAGAGAAAATCTCGGTGAGTGCTATGTTCTATTTCTTCCCTGCTATTTTTTCTCTTTCCCTGTCTCCGAAGCGTCTGCTTGTCACATCTTCCCGTACATCCTTAGTGTCCAATACTCATTTCTCAAGCAAGTCTGTCTATCTGAAGCTCAGCAAATCTGCCTCACTTTGGTACCTAGCCGGACTTTTCCTTGGGAAAATAGAAAGCATGGGAAATCTCTTTAATCGTCCTCGATAATTCCGTATCCCAGTGGTTCCTGACCTTCGCTCACGTCGGGAGATGCTGGGGATCTTTAAAATCTACCGGTGCCTGCTTCGCCCACCCTTCACCCACCAGACATTCTGATGTAGCTGGGGCATCCTGGGCATTAGGAGTTCTGAAAGCTCTCCAGTTTGGGAACCACTGCTGGTCCCCCCACTCAGTAGACAACCTGATAAAAAGCCCCCCTCAAAGTTCTTCACACTCGGGTTGATGGAACAGCCACATTCCCCCCAGAGGGCAGAGCAATGATAAATGAGGATACATAAAAATTGTTTTCATGAATCAAAGTGCTCCAGAAGTGACTGTTTCCACTTGTCGTTCCTTTTTGCTTTGTGAATGTGGCAAAACAGTCTGTAAAGCTCTGCACTGTGGTTCAGGAATCTTTGGCAGAAAAGGCAGGAGGCTGGTGGGCGTAGGCACTGCCTGCCAGCCAGGCACAGCTGGGTCTGAATCCTGCTTTCAGCTCCGAGCAGGAGGGTTGCCGTAGGTCAGTTATTAACTTTCCGAGCCTCCGTTTCCCTGTCTGTAAAATGGGACAGCAAGACCCAGTCTGTAGGGCTATTGAGAGAAAATGTGTGTGTCTGGTAAATGGCAGTTATTAAACTAGTGTATGTATGTGTGTGGGGAGGGGGGCTCGGTCCTTGCCTCAAGCCCACAGAGAGCCCCGGAGCCTGCGCCCCCACCCTGCCTCCAGGGCCCTCCTTCCTGCTGTGAGAGGGGAGGGGGTCGGCGCAGTACTCACACAGGCCCATGTACTCCCCGGCCGAGGTGGAGGATCCCAGGACCAGGACCACCGCCAGCAGCCACAATGCTCCAGCCTCCATGGTCGTGGGTGGGCTCTGGTGACCCAGCTGCTCAGAGGACATGCCGTGTCGAAAAGACGGTTCATTTATAGCCCTGTGTTTGCACAGGCGTGCGGGTCCTGTTTGTTTGGGCGTGGCTCTCCCTCCGGCCCCAGCCCCACTGCTTCACCCCCTGGCCCCCACAGCTGTGAGGCCCCCAGAGGCTCGTCTTCCTGAAGGGGAGCAGGTGGTTCCCGCCCTGCCTTTGGGTTCCAGTCCCCAGGTTGACACTCCTCTCTGGGAGCAGGGCTGGGAGGACAGGATGCAGGCTTAGCGGGGGGTGGGCCGTGAGTCCCAGGCACCCACTTGGGGTCGTCCACAACCACACGTTCCCTGACGCAAGTCCCAGACCACCGACTCCCAGCCAGCCGGGCCGCTGTGGGTCAGGGGCCCTGTGCACACAGGTCTTACCTCTCCCTTGAGACTGGAACGGGAGAAATTCCTTTCCTTTCTGTTTTGCTTTTTACAACAAACATTATTTTTATCATTAACTGCATTGTAGCAAGTTGTGAAATAAACATATTCAATGCATTTTAATAAACATATAATGTGCAGAATAATACAAAAGACCTCCTGTCTGGAGGCACCTGTGTTTCAACACTTCCTTAGGCATTTTTTCATACATGTTCTGTCTGCATCTCAGCCCATCTTTAATGGGAACTTGGTAGATGCCTTTGCCTAGCTGGCTTCCTTTTGAATGAAGGCTATCTTGGAAATTGTTTTATAACAGTATATCTAAGTGATCTGGGAATAATTACTCCCGTTTTCCAGAGAAACAAACTAAAACTCAGCATTTCAGGTCTGTCAAGGGCACTCCAGTAGATCCCAGCTGGGATCCCACCCACTGGTGGAGGACTCTGGGGTCAGTGCCACCTTCGCAGGGCCTGTGTGCCTCTGCTGAGTGCAGCCGAGGATGGAGCCCTAGTGTGCTCTCCACGCCTCTTTGCTGGCAGGGGCCTTCTTACCCATCTGTTCAGCACCGATGCGACCCAGTGACTCTTCTGGGACCCAGGTGGGTGTGCCTGGCTTGTCGACCTCGGCCCCCTGGTGTGGATATAGTGTTGCAAGGGACCTGAACTACCCAGGGGTTCATCTGCAGAGCCATCCTTCACTGAGTGACCGGTGGGGTCACACTATGTACATGATGGGACGGAGGACTGTGTCCCACCTCGGGCCTCCCCAGGCTTAGCCCTCCTACTCAGTGAGCCCCCAGTGAGCTGATTTGAGGTGACCTTTACCTTTGGTTGGCCACCTCTTCCAAGGCAAGGCTGGCTTGAAGACAGAGCAATCTCTATGTTCTTATCAGGGCATTTGCTTTGTTCCCAGAGTGCCAGAGTGCACCCAAGCTAACAGATGGCATGATTTTTATGTTATTAGAAAGATTGTCATAGGGTAACTCCTCGGAGGGTTTTCTGGCCAGACCCCCTGACTTCCCACTCCCCACCACACCCCAGGCCAGGCCAGGGTGTGGAACTGGACCAGGTTCCTGGAAAGCACAAACACCCCAGAAATAAGCTTAGGAGGGACCGCTGTGTGAAGGCTGCCCTGGCAGGGAGCATCTCTGATCACCCTGGTGTCTACTGGGCTTCACCTGGAGTCACCTGCAGAGCTGGACCCGGGTGGCTGTGTGATGCTGCCTGGTGCCCCCCAGATGGTCATTTGGAGATTACTGAATTCCCTGGCAGTCCCCACCCTGAGACCACCACCTGGGGTTTTGCTTCAGTTTAACCTGGTTAATATTGACTGAGCCCAGCTTGGGACCCAGGAAGGACTAGTAGGGTGACAAACCCCTCACCCTGAAGAGGTCCCCCGTGGGGAGATGGGTCATGTCACAGTTACAGTAGGGAAGCCCGAGGCCTGGTCTCCAGTCACTTCACCGCTTGTGCCCCAGTTCCCTTGCCTGTCACATGGACCTATTGCACAGGGCTGCATGAGATGGTGACACAGAGCTGGGCCAGGCACCTGGGGGCCACGGACCACCTGCCAGGTGTGGGGCAGGTGCTATGCTGGCAGAGGGCCCAGACTCTCAGTCCCCATGTCTGACAGAGGGGCAGCTGTGACATGGTGGGGGCAACAGGGGGTTCTGCCAGTGGACACAGCACAGGATTCTTAGAGGACAGGGGCTCGAGCTGGCCCTTGGAGACAAGAGAAGCGAGGAGATGTTTTGGAGGAAAGGCCCCACTCTGTTTTATGAGCCCTCCCCCCAGGAACCCTGGGCTCTCTACCCAGGGCAGAGGACAGGACCGGGGAGTCCCCCGCCTCCCAGAGCTCACAGTCTGCCACCTTCCCCAGCCACCCAGCTCCTCTAGGTCAGGGGCAAGGGAGTCCATGTTCCACGGATGA